AACGTTGCGTCATCGCGCTATCGCCCGCGCCCCCCTCTCGGGGGCGGGTGGGAGGGGGTGGCGCCTGCCGCAGGGTGAGCCGCATGGCCGCGGCGTCAGCCACGCAGCCCGCGGGGCCATAGGGAGCGCTCTCCCTGAACTCGCCGCGTACCCTGTGCACGCCGCGCTGCCGCGCGCGCCCGGCCCGGTCAGCACGTGAGGCGCTGAAATGTGAACGCATGGCGCTGGGGTCGATCCGACGAGTTGGAGCCCGGTCCACCGAGCCACGCGGGGTGAGGTTCTGACTCGTCTGCGCACGGTCACAACGGTGTGGGCCTGGGGTGGATTTCTGGACGTTTTAGGTCTCGTTGCGCTCTCGTTCGCAGCCCGCTGAGTGTTGGAGCCTCCAGTTGTAGTGATGACACGGGCCGAGGCTGCCGATGGCCCCGGCCTGGACTGCCGGTGACACGGCCTCAGGCTGCCGATGGATGACACCGGCCTTTACTGGCGATGACACGGGCCGAGGCTGCCGATGGCACCGGCCTAGACTGCCGATGACACGGGCAGAAGCTGCCGATGGATGACACCGACGTTTACCGCCCATGACACGGGCAGAGACTGCCGATGGCACCAGCCTAGACTGCCGGTGACACGGCCCTAGGGTGCCGATGGATGACACCGGCCTTTACCGGTGATGACACGGGCCGAGGCTGCCGATGGCACCGGCCTAGGCTGCCGATGACACGGGCAGAAGCTGCCGATGGATGACACCGACGTTTACCGCCCATGACACGGGCAGAGGCTGCCGATGGCACCGGCCTAGACTGCCGGTGACACGGTCCTAGGCTGCCGATGGATGACACCGACCTTTACTGCCGATGACACGGGCCGAGGCTGCCGATGGCACCGGCCTAGACTGCCGATGACACAGGCCTGGGCTGCCGACAGATCAAAGCTCCTGTTTTGTTGTTGTTGGACGCATTCTTGTCCTTGGTTGACAGGGACGCACGTGCGCCACACTGCGCGCGGGGCCGTCTCTGAGGCATTGCGCCATGCGGCGTCCCACTCTCCTCTGTTTCAATGCGCATTCCTGCTCCCCTGTGTTCCGTTGCCAGACGACGTTACCCGACTAACATAACTACACCGGTCCCAAATTAAACAGGGCGCGTCCCCCCCTCCCTTCCCGGTTATGTGCGAGGGCGTCGCGTGACATGCGTAGGCTGACCTCATCGCTCGGGGAGCCAGTTTCGGATGTGGCCCTCTCACGTGACTGGCGAGCTGGGATGACTGGAAGGCGATCTGTCACTGCCAGCAGAGACGTGCGCAGGTGGCAGCTGGCAGAGGTGCGAGATGCCATCGTTGCTGGCGCTTCAGGGCCAGCTCAGTGGGCATGACTCAGCCGCCCAAGCCCGCTGAGAGAGCGGACGGGTGCCGGACATGCGTGAATAGTGGCTGTAGATCTATTTGTTCAGTACGTTTTCGTGCCCATCTGTTTCTAAGGTCGGTGGTATCGCAAATTGGGTTAAAAATTGCGCCGCCGGCTGGTATCTCGGTATCAGCGGCCGTCTGGTGGCGGCGGCGGCTGCGGTGTCGGTCCCGGACACCGGGCTCGGCGTCGACAGACGGCCGCGCCGGTGTCCGACGTGGGCGCGACTCTGTCGGGTCATGGCCCTCGGGGCCGGCTGTGACCTCTGCACGCTGGCCGGTCACGGCACGCGACCGATGGGAAAACATGCAGCCTTTTGCGTTTGAACTTAATTGAAATTAGTCAGGAAAATATTGTGCTCGTTAGTTAGGTTGTTATGTAATTGAATGATGAAATATAGCCATGAGCGGAGGTTCGTAAGAATCATTGTTTGTTCAGTAACGACATATTATTTGTGTTGCGTTCTGTGCAGTTTTTTTTGGGGGGGGGAGTTTACACTCCCCATTCGGGCGTGGTCTGTCCTCCAAAGGGACAGGCTGCTCCTCTCGTATAATTTGTCGCAGTTATCATATAATGTGTGGAACCATATAACATCGGTCTCGCAATCAAGCCTCTGTCCTTTCCGCTGATGGCGAAATCTAAACGGCTTCCATTGGAATGACGTGGATGCGAAGCCACATATGAGTGATCTGAGAGGATTTTTGGCCGGCCCAATGCGTTTTGCTAACGAACAAAAATGGACCAGTTTGCACGTCACGCGTCTGTGGCGGACTATATATGGATTGTCAGCACGCAATAGGCTCTCAGTCACAGCCTTATTCGGTTGACTGATGCCGATCGGGTCCGGCTTGCCGGCATGAATTCTGAGCTGGCACTCGCCCTCTTCGAAGTGGACACAGACCCTTTCGCTGTTGTGATGCGCTTACCTGGTCCCATTACAGACCAGCCCGGTGGTGGGGCGTGCACGATGTTGTGATGCTTCTGCGGCCTGAAAGATGCAGACGTTTATTTCAGGGCTGTGCGACGTGTCAGTCTCAGCTCGAACGAGGCCCAAACAGTCCGACTCTGTGTACTGCAGCATAAGGAACTCGTGCATGTTAAGCTCCGTGTTAGAATGCGAACGTGACTGCGCTGTTCTTTTCTTCAGTGTAAATTTATTTTGGATCGAGCACTTGGAGGGTCAAAGGTAGGCAAGCACTCGATCCGCTGGCATATATATGCAAGATGGGTCACTTTGACAACCGATGCACACTCAAGGGTGAGGAAAGTAATGCGCAAACCACATGTAAGCTGGCATAGAAGGAAGAAGAAGAAATGAATGTCAGGCTGACACGAGTTTGAGTCATAAAGGCAAATGTCCATATGGTGACGCACTCTGTGGGACACAAGGTCTGCTTAAAATTCAGTCCGTCGAATCGACTTCCGTGCTGTGACGTCAGCAGGAATATCAACTTCACGCCGCCAAACTCCGCTCCGAAACTCAGAAACGGCGATGACGCTTGAATACGCCGCAGGCGGCAAACTTTCGCGCACTTCCGTGGACTTCCCACGAGGGCGATCGCAGCGCCTCGCTGCGGACGGCGGCGCAAACACCACTACGCGCAGATCGTGGCCTTGACCGGGCAGCGCCGAGCCACACGGCATCGACCCGTCGCGCCGGTGACCTAGGCGCGGTCGATCGGCCAGGGCTGCAGCCGGCTGCCTGCAGCGGCGGACTGCTCGACCGCGGACGCACGCGCGCCGGCTGCGGCCAGCTCAAGGTCACGGGGGCTGATGCGCAGGGCAGCTTCTGTCCGATGGTCGTAAGTGCGGTGATCGGAGGCACAGTGGCGGTGTCTGATGGATGACGGTCTGAACCTTCGGTTATGCTCAGATGTCGTCGAAACGAAGATGCGGCGTTTTTAACTCTAGGTTTGAGCTTCCCTTCTCGAGGTGTGGCCCTCGCGTAGGGTAGAGGCGAGGTACGAACCCAAAAGTCCTCGCATATTGCGATTCATGGTCCCTGGCCTGCGTCCAACTACGTCGAACAAGCTGGCGTCAGTTTGTGTTAGAACATTGTGTGGGCAGCCGAGTGGGAACTCACGCATCCCTGGCCGAGACTTCGAAGAACCCGCGTCACGAATAAACATCGAACGACAAGGACGCTTAACACATGGCCGTCGAACGTCTCATGCGTTTTTTTGCGAGCTGCACTTATGCGCCAGTGGCTTGTTGACTGTGTTTTGCTGCCGCCGAGTCGCGACAGCTTAGTTATCGGACCGGAGATGTCACCTGTGATTCAGGCCGGTTGGACTCCCATAATTGGCCTTTGCCGACTCTTCTTCTGGTGACGTAATTCTGCACCAAACCTGTCCGCTTCGAACATGAGAGAACGGCGATGGTTTTTGTGGCGATCGTCAGGCACAGGTACTGTTTTTGCGGTCACATGGGGAGCAGTGTTGCAAATAACGACATTTTTGGCAGCTTCCTAGTTTATGAGATATTCTCCGAAACATTTTATCGAACACCTCGTACTTGAAATACTTCACTGATTGGACAAAAACTGATCACGAAAGGCCTTGTTGGTGCGCTCACGTCTGCGTACGATCATCGACCATACGAGTCTGACTTTATGCAAACAGACGTTTTTTTCCTGCTGTCTAGTACGCTGGACGAGCGAATGTCCATAAAAAGTGGCCTCGTTTTGGTACACACGGCCAAGGCCGGGCAGGACAAACGCTGTTTTTTACTTCTTCTTCGGTCTGCGCCAGGAGCACCGTCGGTAACACTTTCGTTCCCATGCGCAGACTGGTTGTCGTGCCCCGTTTCCAGCGCTGTCTGGTGTTCCAGTTCTTTCCCGAAATGGCACGCAAGATGATTGCTAGTTGTTGGTGTAGTTCGCTGTCCATGCAGTGTACGTCACCACTCCGCGAGCGCTTTCTAGACAACATAACGCCTGGTACGTTCTCACCAACCACGCGTGAATGTCGCGCTGGCTCGCCACGTCAGTCTACTGCACGCGGTGAACCGAAGTGTGTGCGGTAGCAGTGTGCTTGTGGCGCGAGTGCTGATGCCGGCGCGGTGGCGAAGTCGACTACGGTACCCTCTCGGCCGGCACCGGTCCGGGAATGCCTCGCACGCCGCTGCCAGTGACGCGCCGAGCCATACCGGAAAGCATCACGGAAAATCCGCCGCTGGAATGCGGTGGATCAGACTTAGAATGCCGTCGGCGTGCAGGGGGAGGGGAGGGGCGTGCAGCCGTCGGGTCGCCGCTCGTCGCGTGCCGTGTCGCCGCACGTCCGGACGGGCCGTGGCCGTCACACCGCCAACGTACCCGCCACACCGTCACCGTATCCGTCACACCGTCACCGTGTCCATCACACCGTCACCGTGTTCGTCACGTCCCCACCGTGTCCGTCACACCACTGCGTGCCTGTCACACCGTCACCGTCCCCGTCACACCGTCAACATGTCCGTGGCACTGTCACCGTGTCCACCACATCATCCCACACCCGTGACACCGCCATCTTGCCCGTCACACCCTCGACGTTTCCGCCACATCGTCACCGTGCCCGTCACGTTCTCAGTCTGACGCCGCGACTGCCCTGTCTTCCAGACGGACCTGGTCGTCTACAATGAGGACGGCACGTGCAAAATGCTCACCGTCGCCGAGGGCCTACGCACGTGTGACCTGTGTGAGCTGCTCACGCTCAAGAACCACGTGGCCAAGAACGTCAACTGGTCGCTGGTGGAGCGCTGGCAGAGCCCGGCCATCGGTAGGTGTTTCCGATGGAGCGCTGGCGGAGCCCGGCCATCGGTAGTGTCTGTCTGTATCCCCGATGGAGCGCTGGCGGAGCCCGGCCATCGGTAGTGTCTGTCTGTATCCCCGATGGAGCGCTAGCGGAGCCCAGCCGTCGGTAGGTGTCTCTACCAGATGGGGCGCTGGCACGGCCCGGCCATCGGTAGTGTCTGTCCGTCTCCCCGATGGAGCGCTGGCACAGCCCGGCAATCGGTAGTGTCTGTCTGTATCCCCGATGGGTCGCTGGCAGAGCCCGGTCATCGGTAGTATCTGTCTGTCTCCCTAATGGAGCGCTGGCACAGCCCGGCCATCGGTAGTGTCTGTCCGCCCGGCTGGTGAAGCGCTGGCACAGCAGAGTCCGTCTCACTCCGAATGCGTGGAGGAACTGAAGCACGACCATCCGCTGAGCCGGCGCGTGCGCTGGATGCTGAGATCACTGAGATCGTCAAATATCGTATCTATCAACGTCGCGCCGTTTTGCAGCTCAGCTCAGCATGTTCACCAGGCTGTTCGACAGCTCCCGAGCATCACTAGACGCATTCGTAGCGATGTTTTATGCTGCATCCTTGGATCTCGTCCTTCTCTCCTCGAATGCCAGCAGCTGAGTTGGCACGACCCGCAAGGCGGGGCAAGTAAGAGTCCAGTCCGCCTGGCATGAATGTCCGCCCCCCCCCCCCCCCCGGGCCCGTTGCGGGCTCGCGACGCAGCGAGCCGTGCCAGCTGGGCGCGGCCTCGGACGCCTCCTGGCGCAGCGCCGCGACTTTCCGGTCACGTGACCTTTCGCAGGGGCGGGCTGACCCCCGGAAATGCCGCGGCTGCCGGCCGCCTCACGTGCGGGTGGCCGTTATCAATAGCCGACTGGCCACACCGTCCGAGTGATGACGTCAGACAATGGTGCCGCGCTGGGACGTTGACGGGGGAGGGGGAGGGGGTCGACTGCAAGCCCTACTGGCTTGATTGTCGTTAATTTCTGCCGGCATATTTTGCCTGATTTGGGTAGAAGTTGCTGTTAAGTGCCCAGGGTTTGCGGTTTCACCCGTACGTACAAGATCATATGACGAGGATTTTTTATAGGGATGGACGAGCATTATTCTTATTGTCTGATAGGTTCAGATACCTTGCAATTTTGAGATCTTGAAATTTGTGTCAGCCAGCCCTTGTCTTTACCATTCAATGTATGCTAAACGTGCAATTTATTTTGTTATTCTCCTATTCTCTTCTGCGCCAATTGCTCACAGCATGCTCCTCAGTGCTTGAGTCTGCCAGTTTCCGCCAGTTTTTGCCACCATTAGTTACTGCCGACCGGTTTTCACCGGTAAAAACTGGCTGGCAGAAACTGTTCCAACCGGCTGTGGCCAACTCTGGCACGCACGCAATAACACTTCCGTTGTGTATCTTGATCCATTTTCAATTTGGGGTGACCTCGGGCAGTTTGGCGCGGTCCTCCCCTCGAGCTGTTGAGAGAGATATTGTCCACTTCATTTGGCACGGAATCGTTCTTTAGTTTGCGATATAACAGTGTTCAAAAACATTTATGTATGCTGCGAACTGTCACTTTGTCCCTTCTCACATTACTAACCCGTGCGCCATGCATCAAAAATGCTGTTTTACACTATCGCAGACCCAGTTAAGGCATCTTAAGTTACCTTACTTTTTCACTGCCGATCTATTATTTACGTTACTTCTCTAATGGCTAATAGCATTGTCAAAGCTACAACTAAGAAAGATGTTTTGGGACTTCCTCCCGCTAGCGCGTGTGCAGCCGCATGCATCAAAGGTGTAGGTCAGCCAAGAACTTGGATAAAGCTTGGAACAGTGTGGTTATGCTACGGAAGTTAGACGACGACCCCACCCTTTTCCAAACTATGTTTTTCAATGCATTTTGCATCAGCGCCACTGGGATGTACTCGGGTGAGAGAGGTGAGAAGCAAGTCAGTCGGTGTAACGCATCGACCACAAGCGAGTGAGTGGTGCAAATAAGTGATATCGCGAACGGGAAAGGAAGCAGAACTAATGGGGGTAAATGTCCTATTGTTTAGTTATATCGCCTGCGGTTTCGTTTTTCCCATTCTGGGTGAGACCGCAGGGGGATGTGGATGGGCGAGCAAGAGTATGGGCGTGCCCCCCCCCCCACCCTTAAATAATTTTAGGTTGTCCCTTTTCTCAGCTTAAAGAAATTTCAACCACTCTTATTTTACGAAAATCCAGATCAGGGAGGCCACATAACTTAGCTGGAGTTATGCTCAGTTAGGTGGACTCCTTCCGCATAAATCGGTCTCAGAAGACCCTTTCAATCTTAAGGAAGACCGTTTTCTGGAATATGAGGCTACTTTTATAAATAAAGTGGCCCATGCTTTAGATTTGAATCCACAATCTTGTGTCAATAAGACCCCGCTGCTGGCTCGGGAGGCCCCGTTATAAACTAGGAGGCCTGTTCTGGGTTGGGAAGCATCCTCTGTATTCAGGAGGCGCCCTTTTGGAGCTGGAAGTCCCTTTCATTCATCAGATGGCCACGGTTCCGAACCAGCATGCCCTGTTTTGCTATAATCAGGTCCCGAGGCTAGATTTGGAGGCCCCGTCGTGAAACGGAAGCCTGCTGCTCTGGATTAGGAGGCCCCTTTTGCATCAGGAAGTCCTGTTTTCGGCTACCGAAACCCTTCGCTGGATAAAAAGAAGACTCCATTCTGTTTTTTCTTTTAGTTGCCGGCATTTATTTACCTGGATATGATGCAGTTGGATAAACCAGCACATGCCGTGGGTATCCCTCCCCCTTGAACACGACACTACCCACGAGCCCCCCCCCCCCCCCACCCCTTCCCCAGCGAGTAAACCCCATTTTGTCCAGGGGCTCACGATGAGATTCTCCCAGAAAACCTTCGTTTGTGAACCTCATATAGAATCACTGAAAGCGCCATCTTTTTCTTCCGACCTTGAGTTGTGAGCCCTGCGCCGCAGTATCCAGGAGCGTTGCCGTCTATTTCTGTCCTTCTGACAAACGCAAGTGTGACGCAACGGGGACCGGCGAACTCCGCCCTCTCCCCCCCCCTCCCCCTCCCGGGTTGGTGCCACGCCGCTCGACACCGCACCGCGTAAACCCTGCCACATCGCTGGCCGACTCTGTCGGTCAGGCGTAACTGGCCCCACGGGGCCGCCCTGAAGGTGCTAACTTTCACCACAGCGGCACGAGCAGATGACTAGCCGTCGACCGTCGGCACCGTGTCGGTGCCGCCCCCCCCCCCCCCACCCACCGCCTCCTCCCCGGGTCATACGGGCCGTCGGCGCCGTGTCGGTACCCTCTCCCCCTCCCCGGGTCACACGGGCCATCAGTGCCGGGTCGGTGCCTCTCCCGTCCGGCGGAGCGGTGCCGTCGCTGCCGGGGCTCGGGTGTGGGAGCGTCGCCGGCGTCGGGCCTGCGCCAGTGGGCGGCGCGCCCCAGCGGCGCCGAGGCCGGCGAGCGGGTGGGGAACTGCGCAGATGTGCGTCCCGCCCGGCGCCGTTCCACGAACCGGCGCGCGCGCCGCGCTCTACCGCGTGGCAAGCGGCGACATGACAGGCGCCTTGCGTGCGGGCGACTCTGGCGGCCGGACCGGCGCTGTGGCGCGAAAGGTCATCTCCGGATTACGCATTCCCGTTACCAGAATTTTCGCGTTAAGAAAGGTCATCACTGATGTTCTTGGGTGTCTTAGCTCCGGCCCCCGCAACGGGCTACGCCTTGTTAAGTCGACTTCAGAATGTGGGGCGTTGAGCGTATTTAATGTCAGACGCGTGGCGTGGGCACAACACCGGTGCGTGCCGGTTGAAGTGTGCATTCTCGCCAACCGTGAGCAGGTGCGTGAGAAGTCCTATTCGGGGCTGCATGCTGATGGCTACTCGCTCCGACTGCTCGGAGCCATGAGATCGGTGGGCTCAGAAGTAGCTCCAGATTGGACCGCATGCGCCTCTACACAACCGATGGTATCACACCACCTGCTGTCCATACAGCTGGCGTGCTGCTGTCTCGGATCGACGCTTCGATGTGTCGATGCGTCGAAGTCATGCATGCTGACGCTATGACGTCATTCGCTGGTCCTGTTCCTGGTCATTTTCACTGCGGTCACTTAGTGCGGCTGAAAAAGTACAGATGACACTAATTCCGGGCGGTTTAATCGCATACCATTCCGGGACAGGCCGTTGCATCAAGCTCAGCTGCTAGTACCGCCCAGCAGCAGAGGCTGCTGGTGTTTGTAGCTCAGCCACGGGCAGTTGAACCGGCGCCAGTTGCGGTCGAAAGCGCAACGAATGCTGTGATGGCCGGCGTCAGGCTGTGCACGAAATGATCTTCAAATGATAAATAAGCGGAACATTTCCTAGTTTTGGGTCCGATGGGTCAGGTGTCTTTGTTAAGAAACGTGACAAATACCTGGTTATCTGTTGCGCCGAGCACACCTGCTGTCGAAATGCTTACGTAGCTGCGGACCAGATGTCCGAGGTCGGCCACTGACCGTACCGTGCCATGGTTCCAGAGAGGACGGTTGAGGACCACGAGGACGTGCTGAACACCTATCGCTCGATGAGGATGGCGCACAGCAGCTCGTCATTCTACTTCAAGAAAGACTTCGCCAAGTACGAGTTTTTCCATAATCCCCAGGTGAGTCGGCTCGTCTAGTGACAAGTGACAGTCGGTCCAGGTCTGGGGAAACGTGACTGTCGGTCCGATGGGGGCGTGATGAGCCGAGTTGACTTGGCGCCAGTCCGGCCCTTTTAGATATCCTGGCAACTTTGGCTTTTGTGGTTCATGTCGTGATGAGTTGCGCTGAATACAGCCTCAGCTGCAAAAGCAGAGTTTCTTTATAGGCTTTCGAGTAGGGACCGGGACATAGACCAAGGTTGCATTGGGAGGGGAGGAAAAGCTATTTAAAGTAAACAAAGCGTCACTCATATTGAGCTGTAATCCTGTAGAAAGTGTGTCTGCTGGAGAAACCTCGCCATTTGCGCAGAGATTCCGTTGGACTGGGGCTGAGGGCGTATATCCGGGAACTTGCGTCGATTCGCGAAGCGCAGAGCGAAATATCAGAACCTCGCGCGGTGTCACGCGAGTTCCCGTGGTGGGGACCTACGGCGGAAGCCATCCTGGCCAGATAGACGTGGCTAGACTAAACCAAGGCTTCTTTCTAATGCATGCATCGTCTGGGGCCTCTGGGGATTCGCCGGAGCCGTTATCTGGTGTTGACGCGTGGCTGGGACCTGACCGAGGCAAGCTGCTCGCGTGCTCCACCCAGGGATCGTGTGCGGTCTGGTGTGCTGAACTACCTCGAAAATCCGCTACCGCCAGCCTGTTCTCGCCACCACCTCACTCGCTCAGCTCCAGGAATGCTACCCTAGGCTCCGAGCCTTACCCGAGGTCATAGTCGCTCCCGGCCACCCCGCCCCCTCATCATGAGAAATGACTGCCCCTCAGAGTGGTCGTCATCGCGGCAACTCCATTTACTTCGCAGGGCATCGGGTGCTATTACCGCCGGAACAGGTCTCGGAACTGCCGGGGTTTGGGTCCGAAGCTCACTATTTTGGACCGGTCGGATGTCTAATTTCACGACCGTGCGTCATGCCCATGTTGGCTGCAGACTGGTGGACTATCCGCTGGCATTGGGTGTGTCTTGTTCACACGTCAGGACAGCTGGTTTGCGATGCGTTCGGCTTCCGTTGCTTATCAGAGGCATTCCCTGATACCATCTCTTGATAATTTCTCAGGGAAGGTTGTTGTCACGCGGGTGATGCTTTCTCAATATTTAGAGGACAAAGGCGTTCGAGTGTTTCGGAACTTTAACTCCATTCCTGTGAAGGGAGAACAAGATTTTCTTAGTGCAGTTTCTTAAGCATTCGAGATAATGTCATGAAACTTCGCGGCTTTCCCGGACCATTTTTTTTTTTGAACATATACCTGTGTCTTTAAGGATTCTAGTGGAATGATTAGTATGAAGCCCGAACGATGATATGAAGACATGACATGCAAGGATACTCAACCTGAAATTAACGGACATGTCGGCGCAAAAGGCTTGACACGCTCGAAGTGAGTGTTCGTGGTAATGTTTGGGGACGTCTTTGAAGCTATGAGGAGTGCGGAGGTAGATCCAAGGAGGAGGCGGCACCCTGTCTTAGTTTTGTCGTATGACATTAGTGGACTTACGAATACAGTCCGCCTCCCTCCATAAATTTGATCTTCACCTACCCCTTTTGCTCCAGATCAATTTTTTTGAATTTTCAATTTTTAGGATGATGTGGACTCGTCATTTTGTTGTCATTTACCAAAACGTGCTGATAAAATATCTCGAGTTAGCAGTGGCCCATTTTGAGTTCCTTGCAGCACGATGTATGTATGGGACTCGTGGTTACAACATTCGACACTGGCGTTTTCGGTACATTGCCGCATTTTTTGTATACTGCCGCCGGCGCTCCACAAGTTTTATCTTTTTAAATAAGATACCCGTAAAGCAGAGCACGAAACGCTGTTTGCAACGACTCGTCAGATGCATGAAGTCAGTCGGATTCTAATGTTCCAAGGGTTGGGTGAAACAGCCGGCTACCGCACGAGACCAATCGCCCGCAGCCCGTGCGGTATAAGAGAAATAGTGCCAAAAGTTCCTTCTTAGACGTAGTTATGACCATGTTTTGTGTTGAGCTTTGCGTAAGAAGGAATGCCTCCTATATCTCAGTTTTCCTCGATTATTCCGGTTGATTGATCCTGTTGCATTTCGTTAATTTATTTGCCCTCCACCCATGAGAGAATAATCAGTGCCTTCATCAAATCTGAAAGAAAGTTCCACGTCTTCGTTCACGTGCGTTACCGGACTGCATATGGAAGCAATTATGCCCGTCACTAGTGTTTGGACAGCCCGTGATTCTGTAGGCACTGTGGTAGCCGGATTGATGGGTGGCAACCGAGCCAGCCTGCGGCTGCAGTAGCGGAAAGGGACTGGACGCGGCCCCGGCACCGGTCTCATTGCTAGTGCGAACGTGCACCCCGACCAGCACCGCGGCTGTCCCAACACCGACACGCCAGAGGCTGACCGAGCTGTGCTGGCGGCTGGGGCGCTTGGCTTCCTCGCCCCCCCCCCCCCCCTCCCACCGGCTCTCAGACGGCTCAGACACGCCGTCTGGATTGCGAGCGACGGCGACAAACTGCTACCCATCGGGAGCAGGAATGGTGACGTCAGTGGCACGCCGGCGGCGCGGGCAGACGGTGTGCCGCTGGTGTGGCCCCGCGCAAATTGTGACCAGTTTCGTTCGGCGTCGGCGGAAACGTAATGGGGCAGATCACGGAGCCGGACCTCCAAGGCACCACCGACCGACCGCCTCCTACGCGGCTCCGCGCCGGGTCCCGGCGGCGCGCCGCCGGGCGCCATGGCATGCGTGTCCGCGCGGCGCGCGGGCCACCACCCGGCCGACCTACGCAGTTGGCCGCCCGCTCGCCGGTAGAGGGCGCGGTGTCGGAGCGGCGCGCCGCCGACGGCCGCCGCAGGTGAGCGGCCTGCGCGCGGACATGCCGTCTGGCGGAGCGGCCCGGACCGAGCTCTGCGGCGCGGCCAGGGCCACCGCCAGCCGGCTGGCCGCGACCCGGCAGTGCGCTGTGAAGGTCGGCCAGCCGCCGTCGCGCCGAGCGGGGGGCGTTGGGGTCAGTCTGGTGGGATCCGGTGATGGGTCTGGTGGAATCCGGTGACGGGTCTGGTGGAATCGGGCGGGTCTCGTGGGATCCAGCGATGAGCCTGCTGGAATCCGGCGGGTCTGGTGGGATCCGGTGATAGGCCTGGTGGAATCCGGTGATGGGTGTGGTGGGATCCGGCGATGAGTCTGGAGGGATCCAGCGATGGGTATGTTGGATCCGGCGGGTCTGGTGGGATCCGGTGGTGGGTCTGGTGGGATCCGGTGATGGGTCTGGTGGGATCCGGCGATGGGCCTAGTGGAATCCCGCAATCAGTCTGGTGGAATCCGGTGGTGGGTTTGGGGATATCTGGTGATGGGTCTGGTGATATCCGGTGTTGGGTCTGGTGAAATCCCGGCGGTGTGTTGAGAGGACACTTCCGCCCGCTTCAAACGCCGCTGCGTCTGGTGAACGTTTTTGCAAAGAGACGGTGTCGAAAGTCACATGGCGTTTTGAATGGAGTGGTTGCCTTTTGCTGTGGTGCACGGAGCTAAAAAGGGAAAGATGCGAGACAGACTAATTACCTGAGTAAAGAGAAGCCTTTAACTCCGGGAAAAGGTTAAATATTTGAACTCAGAAAAGATCAGACCAAGAATAGAACAGGCAAGTGTGATGGGACTGATGGGACATATGGGACAGATGGTGTTTGGAGAAAATTAATGAGAAAATACTAGAAAATGTCTGAGTAACTAGAAAATAAAAGACACGTTAAAAGACATGAGAAAATACAAAGAGAAAAGGGAAAAGTCAAGAGACAGGTTAAAAAAGGATGTCCGTCCTCTCGCTGATGCCCCAAACTCTCGCCCTGAATCCTTACGAGGGGTGACACCAGCGCCACCGTAAGCGGCGAAGGCTGGAGCCTCCCCGCCATTCCGCAGTCTCCAGCGGTGTCCCGGGGCCTGGCCGGCGGGGCAGACTGTCCGGCCAGCCCCCCCCCCCCCCCCCCCCCCCCCCCGGAGACTGCAGTCGGAACAGCGGCGGCGGCCCGTGCGGGGCGGAGCGGCGCAGACCGGTGGCGCGGCGCCACCCCCCCCCCCCCCCCGACGCCGCCCCTCCTGACCCGGCCCGCCGCGCCGCCGCCACCGGGTGGGACAGGTCAGGTTTTGCTGCCGCTGCAGCCGGCCCGGGGCGTGGCCGGCACACGGCCTGTCTCCTGCGCGGTACGGGAGGCGGGTGTCGGGGCTGGGCCACCCTGCAGAGGTGTGTCCCCTCGTTCTGTCACGTGCGGGGTTGGAGGGGGGGGGGGGGGGGGCGGTCCAGCGCGGATGCTGCGAGCCGTTCCCACGCGGCCGGCACCAGCTGAACGGTGAGCGATGGAAGCGGAGCATCTCAGAGGTTGTTGATGCTGATGCGTCCCCTGCGGCTGTACGAAGCGGCAATGTCATGGCCGGCAAGCCGGTATCTCTCCGAGCTTCAGGACGTGCCGGTCCGGAAAGTGACGCACCGAGGCGCCTTGCCACGATCCTTCGAAGAGCTCGCCGGCAGGGGCCTGCTCCCCCGCCAGCTGCTGACGCGGCCCTGGACGTCCGGGGTATAGCTGTTGGCTGGTGCCGCGCGTGGGTGCCGATGGCGATTCGGTGACGTCGGCACCGACGGTGCCCGGTGACGTGGGGTGTCGGCACTGACGGCGTCCGATGACGCCGGACGGCGGTCCACAGACCTGCACTGCCAGCCGTGCAGCTGCCCCGCTCTCTGAAGCTGACTCTGTTGCGCACTGCCGGCGGGTGAGGAGGTGAACTGCGTCATTCTCAGGCTGCGGAGGGGATCGGATACTACGGCAGGATCAACTCGTCCATCGACGCCGCGCACGCGGTGACGATATTGCCTTCGTATCGAGCCGCCGCGCCGCGGCTCAATCGACGGCGGGCCGTGCAGTCTCCAGAATCGACGTGTATCGAATGCTGGATCAGGCCGAGGAGCTGCTGGAATCCAGCGCATTGTGCAACCAGTGC